CCCTCTTGACATGGAGGAGGAGGATGCAAAGTGGAAACAACTTAAAAATAACCTACAGTTATTTGCAAAGAAGAGAAGCCTGCGCTTATCTTAGATGTCTGTTCCTTATCTTATCTAGCAGGATTCTACCGCTTCTAAAAGTCAAGAGCGTTTTTTACTAATGAAAAATGCATCAAGCTTTGATCGTCTCTGGCTCCCCTGGCTGATCGAGTGCACACGCCCCGAGTCCCTGGACAGGGATTCCTCTTTCTCGCTCCTGAGTCTCAGCTCGTCACTGCCGAAGCCCTCACACACCAAGTGCTGAAATGAGCCTCTTTCGGGCTCAGGGGCCAATTTGGATTTGCTTTTGTTCAAAAAGTCTGGGACCTGAACCTTGCAGTCCTGTTTCCCAGCCCCCTCTATCACCGCCCCACCCCACCCCTCTTCAAACTGGTTACCTGACCGTGAGCTTGACCCGCAGGTATCGGTCCACAGCAATGGCTAACAAGAACATGATGGAGGCGTGAGTGAAGACCAGCAGCAAGCAGGTCATGAGAAGGCAGCTGTAGAAGTGGACCGTGAGGCCCAGGCTGACGACAACGGCCAGGGGCATGACCAGCACCCCAACAGCAATGTCAGCCAGGGCCAGGGAGACAATGAAATAGAAGGTGGTGGTATGCAGGAATTTCAAAAATGTCAGAAAATAAAATGTAGAACCCACTATGGCGCAGAGCCCAATGACGATCTCCATGATGATGTAGAATATGTTGGCCCATGTCAGGGCGGTGCTGTTGGCAGGCATCTTGGTTTCCCAGAGGAGCCTCCCGGTGACAGGTGCACAAACAGGCTCCGGGCGGGCCGGGGAGCTCAGCTCTTGCTGGAGGTCCAGGTGCAGCAGCCACAGCCTACAACTCACAACTCGCCCATGCCTCCTGGTCTCCGGTGGGGCGCTCCCCTGGAGGACCTCCGTGCCTTAGAGAGAGCCCATCGCAGGGCTCACTTCCAGCCCCTCTGCCGGCCACACATCCCTGGGCTCCCAAAAGCTTCGTGGGCTGAATCTGAAAGAGCCGTCGCTCTTAGTTCCCCAGACAGATGCGCTCAGGGACTCCGCCTTCCCCTGTCCCGTAGGGCTCACGGAACTCCATCAAGATAAGCAGCCCTCTTCAGCGTGTTTCAGGAAGTGAGATGGGCCAAGAGGAAGCACAGAGCCAGGGACCCTCAGCAAGAAGATGGAGAGGACGGAGGAGGGCATGTGAGTGGCTTGGAGGAGGCTCAGCATTCTTCACTCAGGACCGGATGCTGGATCGCTAGCGTAGCGCGGGGTGGGAGAGGCGCTGGGAGCACTGACAGTGAGCTATTCTGGCTTTCTGCTGGTTTAGCAAAACATCCCGTGACAACGAGGCAAAAGGACACACAGAGGAACAAGAAGTGGTCTTTGGTAGCAGGCCCCTCACCTTAACCAGAATTTACTCTTCCTCCTGCCTAGAGCGTAGAGACTGACTGTGTGTCCCTCCAAAATTCACACATTGAAATCCACCTCTCAAGACGATGGAGTATGAAGGCAGGATCATTGGGAGATTATAAGGTCATGAGAGTGGAGCCCTCATGAATAGGATCAGGGTCCTTATCAGAGACCCCACAGAGCTCCTCCGCCCCTCCCACATCCGTGAACCAGGAAGTGGGGCCTCCTTAGACACGGAGTCTGCCTGAGCCTTGATCTTGAACTTCCCAGCCTCTTGTTTATAAACCGTCCACTCTGCTGGGCACAGGGGCAACCCAGCCTTCATATCAAAGATCTCTTGTCACGGGGACAAGCTAAGGTTCCCTGCTCAGAAGATGCAGCACGTCCCATAGCATCATGTCTGCTCCATCACCCCTTCCCAGCCCGCACCCCACCGTACAACCACCAGTGTCACACCTATTTGAGGGATAGCAGGATGACAGGATGGCCGGCCAGTCAGAAAGGAGGTAAAGAGCAACATATTCATGTGATCACAGGGCATCCTTGCCCCTCTCATGCCCCAAAGCCCACCCCCACCCCGAGGAACAAGTATCTGTCTGGGAATCGGGCCCTATCCCTGAAGTTGCCCACCTGGTCTCCGCTCCTGGGAACCAGACACTCGGGGCGATTGCTGTTCGAGGGCCACCTCATTCAGGTGCTCCTCTGTGCCGCCCAAAGGGGTCATTTACAGAAACAGCTGCGCCTCAGCCCACACAGTGGGTTAAAGGGTTTGGAATATTTACCTTAAAGCACCAACCTATGTACAGCCCCAAATGCATTGCCCGACCAACTAAGTGCGGCTCTGGGGCTTGCTAACTGGCCCCTGGCCCTGGGTGCCGTTGGGGCCCACCAGGGTCCTCTTGCCACCCACTGATGCCCACTGCGCCCCAAGCTGGCGGGTCCACATCTATCTGAGTGCCTGCCCTGCCCTGTCTCCCTGAGCCAACTCCCCAGACACGAAGGGGCCTCTGACTGCGTCCCTTACCGGCTCCCACGTGGCCACTTGTCAACGTCTCCCCTGAAACCGCTCTCTTATCTCTCCTCGGAGAAGGAAGTCACAGGAGCCATGTCTAGGAAGCCGTGCGGATGGGGGGTGGGGGGTTGTCCTCACGCCGTGGTGACCTTTGAGTCACTCTAAAAAACATACTCTCCCCCCAGCCCCTCCCACCCGGGGGCACCAAGGAGCCTGCAGGAGGGTGAGGCGAGGTACGCTGCCTGGTTGTGGGGCTGGGACAGTCCAGCTCTCCTGGGGCTTTGGCATCCAGGGTCTGCTCACGCCCAGCCTGGCTGCCGAGGGTGGCGGGGGCTCTGTGCTGGGGAGCGGGCGGGTGACACAGCTCCTGGAAGGAAGCCTTAGGTGCCTGAGGAGAGGTGGTGCCGGCCGGGGAGAGTGTCCGAGCCTCGGAGCCAGCCCCGGACCGGCGTGTGTTCTGACCCTTGCCCCTCCCTTCCCCTCTGTGCCCAGGCGAGCCCTGCTCAGCAGAGACCAGCCCATCTCAGCTGCATGAGAGAAGCCATGGATGGGGTTTGTCCCAGCACCGGTCACAAGAGCAGCGTGGTGGGGACAGGAGAGTCCGTGAGACGTTAACCCATGGGATACAGGAGAGGCAGCGACACGCTTGGGGCCACCGACCAAGCCACCGCTTCACACCTGGGATCCGTCTCCAGAATTCCCTGTGCCGACCTGGGACTTCCCCTCCTGGGCGGGGACGCCTTCCTCTACGTCAGCGGTTCTCAACCTTCCTAACGCCGCGACCCTTCAAACCAGTTCCCCATGTTGTGGGGACCCCCAACCATAAAATTATTTTCGTTGGTACTTCGTAACTGTCATGTTGCTACTGTTATGAGTCGTCATGTCAATATCTGATATGCAGGATGTATTTTCATTGTTACAAATTGAATCTAATTAAAGCATAGTGATTCATCACAAAAACAATATGTAATTATATATGTGTTTTCCGATGGTCTTAGGCAACCCCTGTGAAAGGGTCGTTCGAGCAGAGAGAGCTTTCAGGGTCGCTTCCCTTCTGGGCCTAGGACGGGGCCTGAGTGTCCTTTCCGCCAACAGGTGCAGGGGACAGAGGTCAGGAGGCGGCCGCCAGTCCTGGTTAAGTAGCTGCCCCATCACCTCGTGCGGGGACCTCCTCACCCTCCTAACCCACCCCAGAGGCCGGGTTCCCCCACAGCCTCCAGCGGCCCTCAGGGTCAAGTCCACACTCCTTGGAATGGCCAGGGGACCCTCTGCAATGGGGTCTCCCGGCCCCTGCAGCCTCCTGCCGCCTGATTTCCCAGAAACCACGGGCCACCGGGCGGGCGGATCCCCGAGGCTGGAGGCAGCTTTCACTTCCCGCCCCTGTGCACACGCTCTGGGCCTGCTAGGGAGGCCCCCGTCCCTCGGCCTAGAAAACAAGCCCTGCTCCCTCCAGGCTGCCCTGAAACCAGGCCTTCGGGGGAAAGTCCCAGACGCCGCCCCTCCTGGAGCCCCCAGGTGCCGAGTTTCTCCTGCGAGCCCACCAGGGTCCCCTCGCCTCTACTTTCCTGCCTGCTGCCTGCCCTTCGCAGGGCCTGGCAGGTGGTGGGTGCTCATTCTAATGGGAAATGAACTGCTGGCACAAGGAGCCCCCGGTCTGACGGTGCCGTGTTGTCAGGAGGAGGTTCTACCCTCATGTCTGGGGAAGAAAGAAGTGGCCACGACCACGGGAGCGAAGCGCAAGTGTAAAGCAGGTCGGGCCCCAGCTCTGAGTTAGGAAGAGAGGGAGGAACCAGACAGACACCACACACACACACACACACACACACACACACACACGCACACGCACACGCACACGTGCGCGCGCACACATGCAGGACACTGGGGCTGGGGTCCTGAGGGAGCCCTGGGCCAGAAAGAAAAGCTTCCATTGAACCAAGATGCCAAAAAGAATTATATATAAATAAAAAAGCTGTAATATGCAAATTAGGCTCGGGTGGCCGTAAAGGTCACAACCAGTTCAGGAGGAGGAGCCTGGTGGGGGCCCAGAGCCTGAGAGAACAACAGACAGGTGGCCCATGCCTGGCCCCGGAGCTGAAGAGAACAACACACGCAGGGGGGGCCGGCCCCCCAGGCCCAGCCCCATGGCCGGGTTCGATTCTGATCAAGGGCATGTACCTAGGTTGCAGGCTCCTCCCTGGCCAGGGCCCAGGTCAGGGCTCATGCAGGAGGCAACCAATTGAAGCGTACCTCTCACATTGATGTTTCTCTCTGTCTTTCCCTTTCTCTAAAAATCAATGGGAAAATATACTCAGGTGAGGATAAAAAAAAAAGAAAGAAAGAAATGTCACAGCCTATGAAAGAGACATCTTAAAAATGCCTAAAGAAAGTTACCATTTTTTCGTGGTGAAGGGACTGGAGTCCATGTTGATGAAAACACCTTGGCGTCTGCCGTGGCTGGCAGTGGCAGCAGCAGTGGGGTGATGGGGGTGCCAGCCCGATCACCTCCCACAAAGGCAAGCCATCAGCAGGACATCCCCTGAGGGCTCTGGTCTGTGAGAGGAGGCAGGCTGGGCTGAGGGGACACCCCCTCCCCCAGTGCCCTAATTTCGTGCACCCGGCCTCTAGTTCTAAGTAATAAACTACAAGTGAAACGTGGCTCAGGGATTTTCCAATAAAAGGAGGGTCATGTTGGTTTCAGTTCTACTAAAGAACCTGAACTTGGTGGAGGAGGCAAGACTGTGGGAGAAAAGGCCACTGGCGTCCTGGGGAAAGGCCTCGCCTATCCCCAGCCTGGGCCGGAGCCTCCTGACCAAGGGCTCAGCCATGAGCCTGCAGCCTGGACCTTGGAGTTCTGTTTAACATCCCGAGAGGCTGGCCAGAGACTCATCAGATACTTTGCAGCTTCTCAGAGCAGCCTGGGAAACCCCAGCAGCCAGCCTGCAAAGGCAGCAAGAGGCAGTGTTAGGGGGGCCCAGGCAGGGAGGCCAGCCCCACGGCTGGTGCAGGTGGCAGCCAAGACAGGATGTCGGGCAGGCTGAAGGTGGCCGCTTCTGCGGGGCTGGCTCTCCCGGACTCACTGCTGCCTGCAGAGTTGCACAAAATCAGTTTGCTCACTTCCTCTTGCCTCCATGCGACTTCCCCAAAGCCTCACAGAGCTTTAGTCCTGCTAGCCAACAGCAGGGGCTTAGAAAGGACGAGGGCCCACAGTCAGCCCAGAGAGGTGGCCAGCCCTCACTCCCCACTCCCAGCACCCCACGCTCCTTGCCGTTCCATCAGGCCAGAGCGGGGAGGCTGGGCCCTTCAGATGGCTTCCTCCAGGGGCCTGGCCTGGAGCCATCGTCCCCAGGGGACTTCTTACTGGGGCCCAGTGACTTGAGCCAATCCAGCTGTGGCCCAAGAGGCAGGGACTCCTGAGACCTGCAGAGTTCAGGAGACACCCTTAGAGCCAGTGTGGTGTGGGGTGTGGGGTGGTGTGTGTGTGTGTGTGTGTGTGTGTGTGTGTGTGTGTGTGTGTGTGAAGGTTCCTTCACTCTGAGTAACAGGAAATCCTGCCAGCAAAGGGGAACCGCTCCAGGCACCACACCCACCCACCTACATCAGTGTGCCAGGTCCCGGGCCTAGCGGAGGACCCACACAAGGGCTTAGCTAACCCTTTACTCCAGGTTCTGGGCCCTCGGAAAGTGAGGAGGTATTCGAACTACACGAGTCTCAGGGGGTAGAAGCTTGCAGGCACCAGCTTCCAGTGCCCGAAAGGCTTGTTCCTGTATCCCGGCTGGGCTGCTATGCCCAGCAGTGACCA